ATGTATAAAGTATATATAATTTACAAATTACTTACCGCTTAGAAGTATCAGAGGGTAAAAACTTCCTACGGCCGCGTAATTCACAAGAGCGTGGTTAGTGCACATCACCGATATGAAGAAACCTGTAAAAATGAAAAAGGATGATGCTCGAGTTGCTTCCGTAACGAGGACAAGAATGCTTACCGTAACTCATCCCACAAATTCCTCCGAGTAGTGCAAGCCACATAGCAGCGGTCAATGATCCTTTGCACTCCATCTCAAATTGAAAGAAGCAAACACACAATGTTGTCGTAACTTTAATAACAACCACCATCATTTGAGTTATGAGGTGTGTGATTAATATTTCTCCAGTTGTGACACCTATTTTTAATAATATTTACATGGTCAGTAAAGGAAATCCATTTGGCAAGTATTTGTACAAATTAATTTGCTCTCTTTATTTATGTTGATTTTTAAGAACAGAAATATATATATGAATTTGATAAGTAGAGGTACTTATTGTTTTTGCAATTACTGCTCTTTTGTTGTGTGAACTTTTATGATTACCTTGGACTAAAGTTCTGTCCCATACACCGGAGTGTCGGTCAGTAATTATTATGCTCGAGGTCATCGATGTCGCCAAGACGAACAGTAATCTGGAATAATAATATTTTTATCGAGAGTGATTAACAAATAATGGTTACAATTTTTGAGGATGATCTGTGAGAATCGTTGAGATATTAACAGTCGGAATTTTCGAATTGTCGGCTTTGTGAGTTCTAAAACCATCGAATCATCGAGTTATAAAATTTAAACGTTTAACATTTTTCGAGATTTAAAAATGTAAACGTTTTAGGTGTTCAAGATTCGAAAATGTAAACGTTTTAATGTTCAAGATTTAAGAATATAAACATTTTTCATTTTAAAGATTTAATAATTTACGGGTCTAAAAATTTCGAAGTACACGCATTTCCGAGTTCTCCGATTTTCGAAATTGTGTGATGTATTATTACAAAAACATTTGATTTTTTGAAACTTACGACATTATAAAAGGTGGTGTGATGAATGTAATATATTTCTGGTCATTTGTACCAAAAACTGGATCTTCAAACTGGAAAATGAAATAATTTAGCACTGTATTGATAATTGTTACGTGTTTTCTTCAATATTCATTATGGAAATATGTGTACGTACATGTATTGGTACAGTGGCAACTTTTGGCGAAATATGACACTCTTTCATGACCTTTTTGTATTCCCTGAAGAAAATATCGTACAAGTTTTTTTGTACGAACAGACCTATTTGTCTGTCTAAAAACAAAAAGATTAGATTGTTGTTACATTCTACACAGCAAACTAATTAATAAGATCTCAAGTTTCTGTATAAGAAATAATATTACCTGGGGTATAAATTGAAACTCTAATTTGACTGGATATTATATCTGCATCTGAGACCGATATTATGTCTTTTAATTTGTTTTGGAGAGCATACGAAAAATTTCTACTGAAGTGCATTACCCCGATACTCTTCTGCTTCGTGACTTCCTCCACTGCTTTGTTATAGTCATCGTAATACACCTAAAAGTAGAATAATTGTTATTTAACATTTTCCTTTAACATTGGATCCTTTTATTTTTGCCTAATAAAAAAATTGAGAATTCTCTATTTAAAAGCATTGCCTCGTGCAAATTTTCTTCAAAACATAACTTTCAAATATAATGCTTTTAATATGTTTAGTATGCAACACTAGTTTCTAATCAATTCTTTTAATGTTCATAGTACCGAGCGTTTAATATGATCAATATGTAATCCTTACAAAAATTGTATCTTCATATATTTATTATAGTATCCGAGTGAATTTGTTTTAAAAATCATTTCGATTATTTAACACTTTCAGGATACCAATAATTGTGAAGTAAGGAAACTACCGCCATTTTAGTTTCGGTAGTTCTAGTGTTAGTCTTTCATATTGTCCTGTTTTATTTTTAACACTGCTATCAAAAGTCTTCCATTTAACACTAGATTTACGAACATTTGCACAGATTATTCTATCTTCTTGGAAAAATTAATATTCGTTCATTCAGATCTTCAAAAGTCGAGGTTTAAAAGTGAACAATTAAGATACATATTCTGCATTAATCAAAATCGACGCAAACATTTACTAGACAATACTTATAAAATTCAATATGAGACAAACTGACACGTTCCATAAATCCAGTCTTAACACTAGGACATTTATTGCATTGTTTGTTCTATCGCTCCTAGAAGAATCGATGTTCGTCCATTCAGATCTTGGAATTCAGAACTTGAAAAATAGACAGTTAGGACGCATATTCATGTAATTCCATCAATCGAAATCAACGCAAACGTTTACCAAATAATGTTTATAAAATTCAATATACATCAAACTGGTGCGATCGGTGACACTAGTGTTAAATGTCCAGTAACTTCTCAGATTTCTGCCATTGATCCTGCTCATATTCAACGTTTTCAATATACGAAATCGATTTCCAATTTTCTCATACCTTTTTCAAAAAAGTATCGTTGAATCCATTAGTTATCCTACAACTGAGATCGACGAATGCGCACGAGAAATCGGTCTCATCGTACGTGACATTCCCAAAATTCCTCCCGAAATCGCAGTTCCCGGCTTCTTCGTTGATAATGGATATCGAGAGACCTTTCGGATCCAGGCCATACGAGTTGAAGAACAGTATCATTTGTAACACCGGCAGGAGTATGGAGAACAGAATACCGCTGCGTAAAGAAACGTGCCTTGTGAATCACGTCCCACTCGTACATAATTTACAGATTTTAATGATAGTTACCCAGGATGACGTACGAACTGAAGCACGTTTTTTGTGAACAGCGCGTGGAATTTCTTCTTCACGCCTGCTCGGCTTATCTTGTTCTGAAATATAATGTACTTTCATGTTTTCGTATTGGCAATTTACATGTACAAGTTAATAAATTATTGCTGTAATATACACTACAAATACGAGCGCTAAATCAGTTTCTTGTTCATTGTTTACAGTTAGTTTGCTCGAGAATGTGCTTTTCGTTGTGGCCAGAAAAAAAAACAGGAAAAAAGCGTACACGAAAAATGCATGCATGGACGAAAGCGTAGAATATAAAATATGTATGGAATAATTCGCATGTATAAGAAATGTGAAAAATTTATTAAATTATTGCAGACAAATTGGGAAGACAGAATGTTTTAACCAGTTAACTGTGTTTGGCGAATATACACGCGATTAAAGCTTTAAATGATACTCTTTCAACGATCAACTCTTTATTTTTTTAGATAAACGTGTAATTCATCTGTGTTTCGGTTTGGGTTTTCATTAAAACATACCCTAGGTGTATTCGTCCTGCGTTTGACGAGTACATACCTCATTTTATGATTTTATTACGCAAAACCAGAGATTTTTCAAACTAAATTTCACAGTTAATAGGTTAAGAGATATAAGTAATTTACGGAATGATAGAGAATCAAAGTGATTTACTATTGAACGGACTGTTCATTGTAAATTTGCAATTCTTCGTGAATGTAACAGTTTATGTGGTGATTTCAACGAATATATTCCCCTTTTAAAAAGTTCCGAATGTTTAGAACGAATAGGCTCATTTTGCAAAGAAACACCACCGAAACTAAATTTTGCAATTTAATGCTACCTTGTTCTTTTGTTCAGAGTATTATCCTCAAATTCTTCGTTTATACTTTGAGCGATTATTCAGCGTTATTTCCAAGTTTGTATTAACATAACAAAATCACGTTATACATAATTCGAAAGAACTTCTCTGCGAAAAATTAATCTTCATTGACAAAGAACTTGTTTACCGAGAAATCTCATTTTCATATAAAGACACTTAGCTATGCAAGTTTGCTAATTACCATAGCATTGAAAAAGAATATTAAATTCGATTCGAACTGATTATTCATTTATACTATATTACATAACAATAGGATACCAGAGTTTTTGTATGTATAATGATATAAGTTGATCTCACTGAAAATTGCCATCCGCACAATTCAGTTTTCTAAAAATTAAGCGGTACGCAATGTGTTAAACATATCTATAGAGAGAGTGAACAATTCAGTGGTATACTATAATGACGTATCGTTCAACAAAATTACTTGCGCGGAAGCCACTATGGTGACTTACAATAGTTAAAAGGTTAAGAAGTTACGTGAGGTTAAGAAGTTAAGAAGTTAAGAAAAATCTGACATTTCGTATTACACGAGCTAATATTATAAAGATTGATACAGGGGGGGTAGCTTTTTTACAGTGACAAAGAACACGTCATTGGATGAGTGTAGACTGCAAATAACGTTTGCGGAAGTAGAAATTTATTCATGCGGGTTTCTTTTACTGAGATTATTATAGTGTTTAACGTTCGTTACCGTCTCCGCTAATATTATTTGATGTAACGGGCAGACTTATCGTTTCCTTTGAAACCTGGATATTCTTTTCAAAGATATATCCTTTTCAGGTTAGTTGCCTGTGAAAGATTTGAATGATAATACGCAACATAATGGTTTCTATTTTCGCGCGTGTCTCATTTTCTTGCAACTATTTAGCAGTTTCTGCGCGAGAATTCGTATCTTCTCTACTGAAGCGGATGATAGAGAAGCGACGCAATTTTTCGACGAACTCGAAACAAGAGAGATACATTGCAAAACGGAAGAATGTGAAGTATTATTCATATTCAAAAGATCTAGAAGTTTAATGCTATCTATTTTATCTGAAGTACTTAATAGAAGATATAAGATTGTATGTAAATTCCGTTGAAGAATAAATTAATCTGTGAAAACATTTTTTATATTATTATTTTCTAGGTGGAAAATGTATGCGAAAACGATTTTAACACTTTTATCGATTAAACGACGAACGTCGGAAGTTAATTGTATTCAAATGCTGTTATTGTAAGATATTATATAGCGTGATTTGTTATTCATTAATACATTGTATGCGGGCTATCTTGCGTGTTGCAGTCTACGTGGCGCGTACAATTTTGGTTATCATAAAAGAACAACTGCAATTAGTAATATATTATAAACATCCACTTCTTTTTATCATAAAAATAAACAAAATTATAAGACAATATTTTATTCGGGTTAACAAAAAATTGTCTCGTTTCGATCGTCTGAATACTAAAAACATACTAACACGTACTGTCACATACAATGTGTTAATATTGTATTTACCAAGCAGGTATCAACAGGGTTTTCAATAATTTTACATTAAGAAGCTTTACAATTTATAATAATTTTTAATCAAAATAGTAATTCATATTTTAAAAGCTTATTAATCTTCTATAACCAATAGTTCTCAGATAACAATTACATCATACTAACGAATACGATTTGCTAATCCCGTGTTAGAATGAAACGTCTAATTAAGAAATTTCTAGACATTGATTACTAATCTTCAACAAACTGTTCAATAATTGCCAGGCACGTGTTAAAGGTAGACAGCGCGCCAGAACAAAAGGCTGATTAAATTTTAAACAGAGCTTCGAGAAACATGTACCAACTTTGGTTGCGTTATTGTAGACTGCGTCCAGCGTGAAGACGTCGCCGACTTCCGTGCCGGATATCGGCGTTGGGCCCACACCTCCGGCCTGATTCTGCACTTGCATTCGACTCAAGGTCAAGAACGCTTCCTCCAAGGAATCCGTTTGAAATCGTTCCAGCAGTTCGTTCGGCGATGATTCAGCCAACAGCTTTCCGCCTCTCATTAGCCCAATCTGTTGAATTAGTCATTAAAATGCGGCGTACCACGAAACTGCTTATCACAGGGCTAAACAGATTATAGCCCCAGGACGCTAGCCTTTTGGGACAACAATGCGCATTTTTGAACGCATCGCTACTACAGATTGCAGCGGTGATAGGTCTTTTTCAGCATTTAAAAAATGAAAAATTATTTACGCTCTTCATTGGGACAGGGCAAATTAAACGATTTAAGTATTTTGTCCATAGAGAGTGATTTATTTAACACTCAAATTACCAGAGGGGTTAAATGATCCATTCCTAATTTCTTCTTTCTGCAATTATTAAAAAAATGATAGGTGTTTCTCTGAGAAATGATTAAAGAATTTAAGTTAGTAATATGCAAACTGAATTGGAAATCAATTAAAGTCTCGATGAATGCATTCTTGGAGTTTCTGTAGAGGAATTTCAGAAAGTCAATTCAATTGCTCGGTAGTTTTAGTGTTAATATATAAATACGTGTGGTATTAGTAACCGTTTGAGTGACTATCAGCGCAATCGCGCTTCTTCGATATATTGTCTAAAACTGCCAGTCTATCAGTTCATAGAATCAAATTAAGTTTATTTATTTGTTTTTATTTTTGTTATTACCTGCTCAGAAATGGAGAAACGGAACGATCGCAATATTTACAATTTTCTTTATGTAAAAATAGAAAAGCATAATTCAGTTTCTGATATTTTTTTCATTTTGGATATTCTGCACCTTAAAATTGTGTGGCATTCAGCGTGTTAATGATAATACATTGACTTTTTCTAGTTCTGAAGCCTTTGTAAAATTTCACTGATCACTTCGACCCTACTACATTTTCTTATAAACTAGGGCGTATTATTGTTAACAGCCCACGGGCATGAAATATATTAAGACGACTTTTCTTATCTAAACTATTTCGCGTCGCGACTTCATAAAATTCCACAATGCATTATTCTAGAGTATAGCAGTGCTCCTAATGTCTTACCACACGAAGTCTGGTAGGACATTAAGATTTCTATTTCGAAATTTTCGAAATTTTCACATCATTCTTTACTTCTTAAATAAACTGTTGGACTTCACTATAAAATAAAAGTTAAATAAATAAATATCGAATAAGTAAATCAATTTAAGATAAATTTAATTTATTGTTTACCCGAAGTACAATTATCTACTGCTTAAGGCGTTAGTCTGTGTGAATTATATAAAACTATATAAAACTACATAAAGTTATATCAAACTATACCGAAAAAGTTAAATAAACGTGAAGTATAAATAAATGTTCTACAGGATGTACAGAAATCTTCTACAAATTTAAAATAAGTAATTTCTCTTTTCCGAAAACTACAAATGTCAGTGAAACTGTTGCAAAAATTTCCATACCTTGTCAGATTGTTTCGCTTCCTCGATGTAGTGGGTGGTGATGACGACAGTGACACCCTCGTCCCGTGTGATCTTCACCAAGTGGTGCCAGATGCTGTGCAAACAAACTTCGCTGACTATATCGTTCTTTGGCTATCCTTACGCGATCGAGAGGCAACTGAATGAAAGTGTACTTGCTTGTCCCTTAATACAGGATCCAGACCGACTGTAGGTTCATCGAGGACCAACAGTTCTGGCTTGTGGAGGAGGGCTGCAGCAAATGACACCCTTCTCTGCTGGCCACCGCTCATGTTCCTCACTAGACGATTCCTCGGAGGTAGCTGCAAGAGATCCTTCAGAAAATTGTATCTCTCCTCTACAATTGAAAGAACAACATCGATTAGATTCAATTATCTTCGATTAGTTCAAGTAAATCGACTTTTATTAGTTCAAATCATTTAAATCATTTCTGAACAGTAATTACGTACTATGGAATTAACCCTTTGCCCTGTGATAACGTGTTAAACTCGCGATGAAAATTTTAAACTAAATTTACAAACTTAAATGTTATTTACTTTTTTGTAAATATAAATCGAATCTTTTCTATTATCGATCGTTAATGTCTGAAGTGAATCTGCCGAGTAGAGCAAATACCAAATTCTTTCTTTTTAAAGGTTAAGATAATTTTAAAGGGTTAAGATCATTTTCTTGTTGATTTTATTATATATTAAAGTCGAATTACTATAGTATTACTGAATTAAACGATGATTATTTGAAATCGTTTCTATGTTATAAGTAATGCTACCTAGTACCATGAGATTCAGCTGGATGAAGGTGCAATAATAATGATGCTATTCAATCAAATGATATATTATAGTTTTTGCATTTTGTGTATTTTGCTCTATGGAATCGCGCGGCGCTCAATGTGTTAAAATTCCTAGAAAAATAGGTATGTTCATATCAATTTTAGAAATTAGAATTTCAGAAATTCGAAAATGGATAAATAAGATATGACTAATCGATATCAGTGAGATCATAGACCCCTAATGATGCCAGCTGCAATGATAGCAATCGTAGAGAAATCTTTTCTAATGGACATTACTTACACCCGGAAGCTTCGAACACTTATAATATTACTAATTGCAATTTTTTTAAAATCTAGGTTCAAGTAAAAGATTATTTCATGATATAGTATATTTCATAAATTTCTTTTCGTTTCTGCGAATAATTAACCCTCTGGGTTCCAGAGTAAAATTAGAAAGTTCGATATTTACCACTAAACTTACCAATTCCTGATCTCTTCCTTTTATAATTATTAAAAAGATAACAGATGTTTCTTTGATAAATTATTAAAGAAATTGATTTAGCAATACGCAAACTGAATTTTAAATCAACTAAAGCTTCAATAGATGCACTCTCGGACTTTCTATAGACGATTTTCAAGTTAATTAAACTGCTCGGTAGTTTTAGTGTTAATATTAACCTTTGTATTTATAGTGCACCAATATGTGAAATATTAAAATAAAATAGGTCCCTCAATTTATTTGCGATTTCTTGTGAAATTTCAAAATGTCTGTATCTCATCAGAAAATGTGTATTTCCAATGAAACACTTTTGGAGTACAAAAGATTGAACGAAGGTTAAAGGTTAACTCCAACGAACAAATTATTATTACATCATCTTTTGGACTTCCAGTACTATGATTACCACGAAAAATGTGACGTAAAAACTATGGTGGTCCTAATTTTTTTACGATAGACTGTACGACAGGGTAATTTACCGATTGTTTCATCGTCCAAGCCATTTATTCGACCGAAGTAGTAGAGTGCACCGATGGCAGAGAACTCATCCACCAATGAAATCTCCTGAGGCATGTAGCCAACCCGTGGTCCAGGTATACCGGATTCCTTGGACCCTGGTGCACCGCCGAGAACCCAAATTTCACCACTGTCCAACTTCCGGACGCCAACCACGCTGGAAAGCAGAGTGGTCTTGCCGCAACCACTGGGCCCCAGCAAGCTGTATCTGCACGGAACCGTTAAAGCGTAAATATAAATACTCACCGGTTATTAATCCGACTAGTCATTAAACCAGTGCACACGATCAGTGTCAATGTTACCATTCGGCGGGCGAAAATTAATGACAAATTCGTTTATCAGCCTTTTACGGTCGTATTCTAAATATTTTGTAAAATATTCCCGGTTAATTGAGGTTTAACCTGTCTTGAGTATTTTATCAGGGTATTGTTAGTTATTATCTGTTCCGTTATTTATTAGTCCTGATAGTTTTTATCTGATTCTTAGGACACATCTGTATAACAAATAAAATTAGCCCGATTTCGTACCCAAGAAATTGACAACTCATGAATTAATAAACGAAGTTTATAAGTTGTTTTGAAATTTTAGATAAAAATACAATAGATTCTTATTTTACGCGAGGAAAATGAAATTAGTGATATAGGTATTGTTGTTTTTACAGTTGTAGATTATAGTTGGATATATTTATAATTATGTACATATAATATAATTTATATATGATTATTTATAGATAAATATGTATAAAGAAGATTGTCACCGAAATAAATACTGGTATCGAATGTTGATAATAAATGTTTTGATTCTTTAATTGTTATTTATAATCCATAATTTAATATTTGAATTATTTTCATTTGATGCGACCAGAACGGTGACAGTGTTCTGTCGGGCATAGTTTGCCTTACGGCCACAAAGGATTAAACTGTTGAATATGGTATAAAAAGACACAAGGTTGAATTAACTAAAATGTTTCCCTGCTTTTTTTAAATATTTCATTTGCGTTGTAAATACATGAATGAATAATATAAATAAATAAATGGAAAGGAAAATAAGAGAGATGGATTGTGTTGTATTTTTAATTACATTTGCAAAACAAATTTGTAACCAAATTTAACTGAAAATAGTATATATTTATGCAACTTGATTAAATTTGACTTGGTAAAATTAAATTTGGCTTGAAATCTTCTGGAAGGATGGGAATAGAGTTTCTGTTCAAAACTAATTTAATTCAAATTCTGTGGATGCATTCCTTGAATTGCTGGAACAGTGGATTTTGTTGAAAGTGGAATAATAATCATGGAAAACAGTGATCATTACGTAACTGATTTCTAATGTATTCGATCGCTGAATTAATTTATGCGTGATCTCCTTATGTTTTTGTTACGAGTATTTCTTTTGTATACTGTAATTACGTTTTCTTAATCACGTTACTTAATCGAGAAATGTGGCAAAAAAAGGCAAAAAAGCTAAGTAATTAATATTATAGATGGTTGAAATATGTTAGAAAATATTTTGTTTTAATATCTAATAATGTTCTAAACAGAAGGCAGAGCTTTATTCATTTATAAAATATTGTATATATTTGTCAACAGTATCTTCAAATATTGGTGAGATATTTAATATAATTTTATGTTATCTTTCCTTGTCGGGATTATTAATCAAGAGAAGTAAATTTGATTTTTTTACCGTTAGTTTTTTAAAATTTCTTTATCAAAATGAACATATGTATAAATGTTTGTGGTGAAGTTATAAATGTTGACGGTTGTTACTTACATGGCTCCTTTAGGAACACACAGATTCAAGTGGTTCAGAATCACTGCCCCATTCCCGTATCCTTTCACAGCATCCCTGACAACGATTGCGTGTTGCAGCACCATTTTATGAAATGCTGGTCACGAAAGACCTGTACTAAACACAAGAGACAGGTGTATAAAATGTTTGCCTAACGTTTCCCACCACTGGAACTAGATATTCTGGTTACGATACTTTTCATTTTCAAACTATCAAACTTATTTTTTAAATTGCAAAATCTTTGAAATCGTCAAGTTCTTTGGAATTTTTAAATTTCTTATTCCTAACGTCGCAAATGTTCAAAACATAGAAAACCCAAGTATTCAAATTTTGAGTTTCAAATTGATAGTTTTTTTTATTTTAATGCAAAAATGCACAGAGCTTTTTGATTTCTAAAATTATGAAACCATCTGCATTTTTCTCCACAAGCCTTGGGAATTCGAAATTCTTTATTCGCCTACTTCAAAGTTTCAAACCCTTAAAGCTCCCAAATATTTCACAACTCATAGTGTTTCGAATTGGCTAATTTTTAATTTCAGTTCCAGGCACAACCAAAAATTAATTTAACTGTAGGTACATTTAAACCTCACACGAGCGCCACTTCTTCCAGAATTGTACGCATTCATACGTCCAATAGAATATCTAAACAATATGTTCATGCACCGTACGAATGCGCAAAATTTTCACTGACGACAATAGCCAAACAACATTTTCAAAGTATTCATTTTATCGGATCCGGATCGTTTGCTTCCGTTTGCATACTGTTCCAGTATTTTGTCACCGTGACGAATCGCTGAATCGATACAGCATTCCGTAGCAGCGTTATTTCGCAATTGGTCCCACGAAACGTTTCATTAAACAATTAACTGCGTTTGACGAGTATACACGTCATCGTAAACCTTGAAATGATACTAATTCTTTTAAGGATGAATTCTTTATTTTTTCAGATGAACATATAATTCTTCTTGATTTTTCTTTGGATTTTCATTAAAATGTACCCTAGGTGCATTAATCTTACGTTTGACAAGTACACACTTCATGTTTTTAATTTCATCGCGCGCAAAACGAGAGATTTTTCAATTCCAGAGTTAACAGGTTAAATGAAACTTATTTTCTCTACGCCGAACAAAGTACAGAGGTATTTATCTATCATCGCTATAAAAGGGCTTCATGGATCTCGGACTAACGATTTACGCAATGGCGCGTAGAGAGTCCTTAAGAGGGAATTTCGCCAAGGCCGTGGAGCGTGTTCTTCCACCTGCTCACAAACGCTGTAAATTCTCCTCGTAGCAAACGGTGTATTTTTTGCGCGATTTGTATGAGACCCTTTCACTTTCATCGATCGATCACGTACCGTGTTCGAATTCGCAACGAAAATGATACCTTTCTACGAAATTCAAGTGGTAGTTTGTTGACTGCGGTCATTCGGTCGCTGTCATAACAGAATTAATTAGACGAGATAGAAATGACACTTGTGAACAGTTTGGGAGATTTCAACCATATAAAGTAACACATTCTCATAATTCAATGTTATAATTATATATTAATATACTGTTATTATAATTGAATTGATAATTACATTGTGCATTTTTATATTAATATAATGTTATTATAATTGAATTAATAATTAAATTATGAATTTTTATATAGGTACTGTAGAATAAGAATCCATTGGAAATTTATTCTATCGCTTAAATATTTTCAGATGTTAACGATAAATTAAAAACGTTATTAAATCCATTATTTTGCTACATATAATATTGTGTATTACTTGCAAAGTGTGCAGTCTGATTAAAATTGCTCAAAAACTTGTGTTTTAATTGACTGTACAATAAATTCAATACTTAAATCTTTTTGTTCAGCATACAAATGTGTTATTGGACAGAATCATTCTGAGACTTATGACTTTCAAGTAAGATTAATAAAAGATCATTGATCCTCTTTGATTACTCGCAGTTTCATTTTTCTTTTATTACTTTCACTTACATTTTCCTCTTTTTATAATTTCACTAATCCCTGAACTTTCATGATTATCGCGTGTATATAAAATGTAATTAAAAGTGGTCGTTACTTAAACAATTTTTACTCAATCAAAGTTTTCCAAGAAGTTTGGAGACTCGTTGAGCATGCATATATCAACGTCTTCAGCCAGTAAAAACCGTAAATCACGAACGGACATGTTAATACCAATTTTCATCGAGTCGATTCTTCCCAAATTTTCAAGCTCGACTTTTTTAAAAATAAATCTTCAGATTGTTATTACTTTTCGAATTTGCTTTTGTATGTAAGATAAACTTTTTACCAATATGTAATATTTTACTAAAATGATAATCATTACCATTATTACTGTTTATATTTTGAAAAAAATCGATTCTCATAGATTTCATTCAAAAACATTTGTTCTTTTCATATAATGGTTAATTCAATATAATATTTAAATATTAAGCAGTCAAGATATAATTTTTTTATTACAATTAAAGACTTATCCAGGTGCTATAATATGTGTATAATGTATATCAAGGAACTAACTCAAAAGTACCAACAAAACACATAAAATTTTTGTCTTTTCAAAATAATCATCTTTAATTTCCATAACATTCAAACAAATTTCAGGCTTTCAGTTTATTAATTTCTTCCAATATCTTTTAATCAATATTTCCGTTCTACTTTGGGAAATGGTTTCCATTTAAAAAGCAGACAAATGAGAATCTCCGGAAAATGAAGAAAGCCCCCATGAATACAATTATAAAAAGAAGTGAAATATGTTTTGCCAACTGAAATATGCAGTCACGTAAGTGGTTGTTTCGAACACACTAAAAGGACAATTTGTATCCCTCTTAATATTGGATTTCTTTTGTTCACAGGCCGAATCAGATTGACCTTATCTGAATCCATTAAATGAGAAAGTAATTCTGACTTCGACATAGGTGAACGATTTATTGTAATCGTTAAAAATTGATAACAGAAAATTGATATTAATTCGAGGCGTAAAAAAGTTCACTAGGAATTCTGCGGCATGAGGTTCATACGAGATTAATAGGATTAATAAAGGTGGAACAGATAACTGTTTCTCAGTTTCTACAGAGTAATATTACTATTAAACTATTATTCTTTAATCTTTTCCTTCCGAGTCATATTTACGTGCTTTCCATTTTATATAAATGTACTACATCGCAATTATACGTACACTGTGATTTACAAGTATGCAGTTCACCATTTTTTATCGAATCTATGATATATAATACATATTATTATTGCTGAACATTGTTCATTGTTGAATTCCGTTACATACATAGATATAATATATTCTGATAGCATTAAGCTGCACGATTTCATTATTCAAACGTCTCAAATAAATAAAAGTTCATCCGGCGAGTCATTGCCTCACATTTTCTTGCGTGCAGACGGTTTCTCAGGTTTTCTTCTTTCATTTTACGACGATTGCATCGGTTTAATGCGATCTTTTATCTTCTATAGAGTAATATAAACAATGCGAAAACTTGTAGTAAATGTGTCACTACTTATAAATGCAGTTACGAAAGCATGTAATGGATACGTGTGTAAAGAAAATAATAGAATAACTTTTAATGACAACTTTTTATACGTTGATTTATAGTCACGTCGACAGTCCAAATATTTAATGGGGTGATTAATACTTTATTGATTAGATACATCTTTTTTTTATTAATGGCACACGACAGTTTTCTTACGGAAATATTTGTTTGTGGGGCACATGGTCACAGACAGTGAAGCACGTTACAAAAATAACGGAGATGTAACGAAGGGACGTAAAATATATGAAATTTATCAAAACCTTACAGAATATTGAGTAATTCTGCAATTATTAGTAATTATACAATTATCTTTCATAAACGATTTATAGAATCACAATTACAATTGATGTTTCTTCATTTGTAATTTTAATGCTTGTTGATTATTTCGTAGGAAGGTAATTAAAGTTTATTTAGAATTCAAATCTGGTGTTCTAATTCTTTCAGCTTTTATTCAATTACGTTACGAAGGAAATATGACCATCTGCCTTGGAATTACCCATAGTGTACTAAGTGTACACTTTATAAGTAAAATATAACTGGATATTGACAAAAGACAATATTCAATCTGACAATATGATTGAATTTTTCCTACATAAACAAAAAACTTTCGTCATTTTTTTCCGTCAAAGTAATAATTGAACCTTCCTCCCATAATCAATGGGTGTTTGCAAATTGAAATCACGTACTACTTTCGTCTGAAGTATCTGTTTGTATCACTCATACTTTACAAGTTACCGAGTTTTGTTCAGAAAACAGCCGTTTAGCTGCACAGTGCGGTGGGACGCGAGAGTTCAATGACGCCGAAACAGTTAAAAACCGATATAAACAAGCTGCAAGCGGCGTTCATTACGAATTCCATGCGGATCGGCGTTATGTTAAATATCAATCACCCCGGTGGTCCCGTCTATTTATCATTCGGCACGTTCGACGTTTCGGATGGACATTATTGCACGGTTGCGACACGAATGTTCAACAGTGTTCTTGCGGTGGCTGCTGTGTCGACGAGTTTATAACAGTACTCGTTGACAATGATTTAGGAGGCGTGGATATGACGCCAAGATATGAATTTGATTTGATAATGAAATTGAATAATAAATTGCACATGATCATAGTAGATGATTAAGCGAATTGTATTTGAGATAATTAAATAGCAACAATTTATAGTGTCTAATATAATATTAATAATTATATAGAGACAACAACAAAAATTTCATAATTAAATAAGGTTTGAGATATTGTATAGGACATAATGAATATGTATTCTCACAATTTAAATTCATTTTCTTTTCTTCAAAGTAATAATTAAACCTTTCTCCTAGAACCAAAGCGTGTTTGAAAATTGAAATCGCATTGCAAATTACACAAATAATAGACAAATTGTATGCTGCAAACACTTCGTCACAAAGGGCTAAATACCAAGAAAACTTGTCTGCTGCTGAGACTTCGATTTGATTTAATAATGGAATCGAATAATGAATTGCGCGTGATTATAGCAGATGATTGAGTAAATCGTGTTAGGGTTAGGGTTAGATTAAGCTAATTAAATACTATTGCCTCCGTGCA